TGCAGAGGTAACCCTGACAACAGAAATAGCTACGTGCCGTTTCAGCAGATTTTAGGGAGTCATCTGTCAACATTAACTTCACTTCCAGATGGGAAAGGGAACAATGTGAGTGTGTGTGCGCACGCGCATGTGTGTGTATGTGTGCTGCCCTTTCCCCCACTTTGTAAAAGTAACTGACTCATCTTTACTGGAAATTCACTTTCGATTAAATTTTCTGGGAATCTTTCAGTTTGAACTATTCACCCTGTCTGGAAAATAGATTAACAGATGTTTAGTTGATTGTTTTTTTTTATTCTAGTGTAATGCTGTTTACTTTAACTCTACAATATGTTGGTGTCTATGGCAACCTAACTATTGATCCTCTCCATCAGGTTATTTTTCCAGGCTGCATGCGATGTTCCTGAACCAGAGGAGAAGTTTAATGTTGACGAATATTCAGACATGGTGACTCTGAGCAAACCAGTCATCTACATCTCAATAGAGGAAATCATCAACACTCATTCGGTAAACCCTGACAAAACGCATCGATCCTTCAAAGAATAAAAAATTCCTGGAAATTACAGAGTGCTGATGCAGTGTTTACTGCATCAGTACTCTACTTCCTTTGTTAGATTTCCTCAAGTTTTCCTTGGAAAACGATTAAAAATTTGGGATAAAGCTAGCTGTGTTCTTTGTCATAAGATTTGCTCTACACAGGAACTACATTGAGATAATTGTTAAAACTGATGGGGGGGTTTTCACATTAGGACAACTTCATAAAATATCCATTCACTATAATATTTAGGGAACAAATAAATTTGAGTGGAAGCATGTATTCCCTGTTTATCCATTGCTTTAACATTCATTGCTAAACTATTACAATGTGAAGTAGTTTACATCCATGTTAACATCTTGATTTTGAATTCCAGCAACCTTGGGAGCACTCTGTTTATTTACCTGGTTCTTTGTGGTTTCTCTGTTGTTCAAGTAGCTAACTGCAAGCATGTAGATAAATAAAACCCCATATCTGTTTTTACACAGCTGCTTCTGGAACACCTGGAGGCCATCTCTCCAGACCAAAATGACTTGTTGCACGAGCTGCTGCAGGACCTGGGAGATGTGCCTGATGTAGAGACTTTGCTCGGTATTGTAACAAATTACGATTTTATTTAATCCCAGTTTGTCCACATTTTTCCTGGATTCACTAACATGCTGCTTTATTTTCAGGTGAAGGCGCCGTAGACCCAGATGACCCAAACAGAGAAGCGACTCTGAGCCAGCTGGCAAAGACTGAGATTTCTCTAACATTAACCAACAAGTTTGAGCTGCTAGAGGGAGACGACAAAGACTTGAAGACTCTCATGACAAAGTAAATTTATTGTTGGAACTGTGCTAAAAAACTGAGCATAATAATTTTTTAAGTATGTTGCACTTGAAATTATTTCATTCTGAGACTTCAGACGTGGTTATAGAACCGTTGCCATGAATCACACTTAGTCAGCGCTACTCTGTTAATATTCTGTGATCCGCTGACTATATTAGCACAGTTAGTGCGTCTTTGTGGTTGTCACTCAGTCACATATCTTTGTTGTCTTTCCTGCTCCTCTATCATGTCCTGTCACAGAGGAAGGAGTAACAAGGTTAGGACTATCTACCCTGTAAACCTGCATCCGTTTGGACTGCTTTCTGAAAAAATCCACTGCAGTGTCGCTCTTTTCCTTGTTTTCCCAGCGGTATTAAAATATTGCTTTTTCTGACTGAATACACATACCTTTTAAAAAAAAAAACAAAAAAAAGGCTATCTTACCATGTAGAATGCAAAACAAAGCATTAACTTTAACAAAGTAGCAACTTGTCATCAGCCTTGTTTTTGTTTACCTTGGAAAAAATGGTAACTAAAATACAATCAATAAAAAAGTAAAATAAAGCTAAGCATGATGCAGAGCAATGGACTAGTGACAAGATATCACTACAGTAACGCTTAAAATATGAAGTACTTTAAGGCTGATACAAATGCTGCACTGGACAACCAACAACCAGGAAAAGCCCAGACCAAAAAGATAAACGCATAAGAGACATGAAACAGTTTTAAACATTAACTTTATAATAATTAGGCCTGAAAAATAAAAGTGAGACTTAATACAGTTCCTGTCTGACATACAATTCAAGCTAGCATTTTGTTCAATCTAAAGTTGCTTCTTTTTTGTTTCTCAGGACAAAGAAGCTGATAGTTGATGTGGTTCGGATTCAGCATGGAGAGACGTTACCAGAAATTCTTGAGACCCCAGCTACTGCACCACAGGTCATATGTTTTCTTATTTAAACTCCAAATATTGTTTACCAAACGGAAACATTTTATGCAGTTTGCATTGTTCATTCTCTCTTGCAGCATAGTGCGATAACTTTTTTTGAACCTTTGTTTCTGAAGGAGTCAGAGCATACAAAGATTGTGCAGCGCAGGGCAGACCAGGATGCTCAGACACCAGAGGGACTGAAAAGCAGTCCAGCCGTGTTGGAGGACAGTCAGCTGCCTCTCGAGCAGAAGAAGAGAAAAATCTTGAGGAATCTCCGTAATCTTGAGCAGGCTGGACTCGTCACCGCCAGTAACAAATACCAGGACCTTATAAACGACATAGCGAAGGTTTAAAAGCACTTAATCCTTTTTTGTCTGAAAATAACACAAAGCCGTATCAGAATCTAAGTGAAGTCTAAATCTCTGATCGACAGGACATTCGCTACCAGAGACGCTACAGACAAAGGAGAAAGGCAGAGCTGACGAAGCTTCAGCAGACGCTGACGGCGCTCAACTCAAAAACTGACTTCTTCCAGGAGCAGATGAACTATTATGACACCTACATCAAGACCTGCCTGGATAATCTCAACCGGAAGTCAGTGTGGATTTCCAAAAATGAAAACATTTGTTTTGTGTTTTTGGTGTATTATTTTTGCTGGATTGTTATATTTCTGGCTGTTTTGTCTTCAGGAATACACGCAGATCCATAAAACTGGACAGCAAAGGGGAAGAAAAGGGCAGTAAGAAGTGGAAGCCACAGTCTCTGAAGTACACGGCGGCCAGGCTGCATGAGAAGGGAGTCATTCTGGAGATAGAAGGCCTTCAGACAAACCAGTAAGTTACCTTCTTATGGTGACATAATCAAATCTACAGTGCTTTGCAAAAGTGTTCGTACAGCTAGATTTTGTCATGTTACAACTGCAAACCTTGGGTTTGGCTTTATGCCGTAACACAACACAAAGTAGTGCAAATTTATGAGAATGATTCATGGTTTTTATAATTTTTATAAATTGAAATCAAAGTGTGGTCTGAGTTTGTGCTATATATAAATGAACCACCTTTCATTGCCATCATGTGAAATTCCAACAAACTATAGTGAAGTTTTTGTTTTGAAGTGACAATTTGTGAACAAGTTTATGAATGTGTTTGCAATATGTTAAAATGCATTGCCTTTCAAAATTGAACAAAAACATGCTGTTACATCTAAGAACAGGTGCATGTGGAATGAGAAAACACTTCAGTTTTTTGTTTTTTTTGCTAAATAGATCTAGTGTAAATTATTTAAAACTGAAAGTTAGGTTTTTATAAGTATAGTCGAACCTTGACCTACTTTCATGCTTTTCCCTGAACCAAAGGCAAAGGTGTGAAACTGAATTAAAATGATAGTGATTTGTCTCATCAGCTCTTTTTTTCCATTTTGTGGAAAGAAAGTTTTTAGGATAACCTCCCCCACCTTTTATTCTCACTGCAAAATCACTGTTTATTCAGGCGTCACCAGAAAGGAAATGGAGAGAAATTACATATCCACTGTTAAAATCTTAAATGTTCTTTACCGTTTATACCAGATAAAACCAATACATATTGGCGCTATATTCTATGTTTCTATTAAAATTTGAGATTTTGCCATCAAACATGCTGTTTTCCTCGTATCATTTTCTGAGTTTTCATCTCGTCTTTCTCACCTCCAAAGGTTCAAAAATGTCATGTTTGATATTTCCCCCACGGAAGAAGTTGGAGATTTTGAGGTGAAGGCCAAATTTATGGGGGTTGAAATGGAAAAGGTCCAGCTTCACTTCCAGGTAATTATTTCCCAAGTGTGTCTGAGTTCCATGAAGAATAGCCAAAAAAAGACATAGCTAGAGCAGAATGACAATCGGACCAGTTTCCTGTTTCTGTCGGGGCATGATGGCAGGAAGTGCGTGGAAATGAAGGCATAGCTTTCTTTTTTTACTCTCCTCATGAAGCAGTAAAAATGGGTAAAGAAAAAGAACTGCTTTAATTTAGTTTATGAGCCAAACCTCTTTAAATCATTCATGAGTTTTCTACTTTGTGTCCAGGACCTTCTTCAGCTGCAGTACGAGGGCGTGGCTGTCATGAAGATGTTTGACAAGGCCAAAGTAAATGTTAATTTACTCATCTTCCTTCTCAACAAGAAGTTTTATGGAAAATAAACGTGGAAGAGAAAGCAGGAGAACTGTTGGGAGGAAACTACTTGTGCCTTCACAAAACATCTCGTCGTTTCGTCTGCTTTTAATTTAATGCATCACATCCAAATGAAATGTCAATTTATTGTCTGTCCAGTTTTTTTTTTCTATGTCTTGATTGTAAATGTAATGTACTTTTAAAAATGAAATTGTAATAATATTCATGTTTTATATGTAAAAGACACGCCTTCCAGAAACCTTTGCATTTTGAGGAAACGGTCGGGGTTTTATGAACATTATGGGACAAAGCTGCAGCGCCATCAGGTGAAAAGTGATGTTGAGACATAAAAATACGTAATTCTACAATTTATTAGTGCCTTTCAAAATGTCTAAATAAAATGTTTTAATTCAACATTAAAGCTGCAGAAGATCTATTGCTATTACTTTATAATTATTTCTCAATCTTTGACTGATATCCAGAATAAATTACATTTGTGAAGAATTTTTATTTATCAACCTTTATTTCACCAGGAGAATCCAGTTGAGATTAAAGAGACCCAAATATCTAAAGTGGAATTTAAGTTTCCAAAGTTAATTCAAGGTTGGCTTATTATAAAGGCATTGCAATAATAAAGAATTGAGGAAATGGTGCATTTTAAAGACTTTGCCATTTCAGGAGAAAAATATTTCTGGTTTCAGCTTGATGCTTCCTTTGTTAGGGGAGGAGCTCTATGGAGTTGAGAAGGAGGAGGATCCTCATGACTAATTTGCTAAATGCTCACCGACAAACGCACTTTAGAAACTCATCTGGGAAACGGATAATTTCAGTTCACTGGTTATTTGGAGGATGTACAGCAACAGCATGTTTCCTCTAGCGTTCGCTTTGCTGGTCTTGTCTTTAAGTCAAAGCTCGGCACACTCAGAAAATGGTGAGTACTTCTTTTAAAACACCTGACATGATGAGAGCATAATGTGTGCAAATTTAACATTCAAACTTTCATTCTTTGTGTATAGAGCGATCCTTTAAAATGAGTTAAGTTGACCAAAATGGCATTTATCTTTGTAAAATAGCATTGCCATAAAATGAATACTATGTACCTCAAATGCAAGTTTCCATTCACTACTGTGGTCCATATTGGTCAATTTGGACTGAAAATGAAGGTGAATTCAAGAAAAAACAGCACATTTTATATAATGTACTGCTGGATTGCAAGTAACTTTCTGGTGAAAGAATCCATTTTGAATTATTCTACAGAACCGTATCATTCTGTATAGTTGGGGAAAAAAAAAAAAACTTGAATAGCATAATTCAAACTTTCAGCCAAAGTCCACTAATTCCCTTATTGTATTTTGTATGAACCATGTCCATCTGTTTATGTGGGGTATAAATGTGATGGGACATGGAGATCCATTTTCATTTAGTCTTGGGCGTGTTCACTTGTAGTCGTCTTACTGTTTCTTTAAATCTCATTTTTAAATGAATGACACAAGCAGGTTGAATAGGAGTGACGAGAGCAAATCTGTTTCTGTTCTACCATCGTGAACCGTTTTTGCCAAATTGAGATTAAAAATTATATGTGGAAAAGCATCAGATGTCCACTACTGCAGTACCAGTAGAAAGTATTCACCCCTTTGTCAAATAAGTCAACAACATTTGGGTTATTTGACAAATTTTGCAAAAACAAAAACGTTAATGTCAAAATGAAAACTGATTTATGGAAAATGATAATGTTTAAATAAATAAAAAAGTTTACCTCCTTTAAAGAGATTGACCTAATTCAGTGGTTCTTAACCTGGGTTCGATCGAACCCCAGGGGTTCGGTGAATCGGTCTCAGGGGTTCGGCGGAGCCTCTGCCGCAGAGGTAAAGAGACACCGTGTAAAGTCGTGATGACGCCCCGCTTTGCCATCACTTGCTGCAGAGGATCACGTTACATTGCTTAGCCAATCAGCGCTGCGGAGGAGCAGTGACTGAAGGTGGGCTCTTTGCACCTACGGCGTTGACGTCACATCTCCAAGAGCTAATGCGGCTCACTTGTTTCCGCTTTGAGTTATCATGACTGGTAGAAAAGACTAAGTCGTATTTCAGATGCAAAAAAACGCAATACTATGAACGTTGTTGTCTTCCTAATATAATGAGCTTTTAAGTTTTAATTAATTTCCAAGCGATCCTGAATTAAGAAGATGGTGGCTTGTAAGTATTTGTCATTACCAGTTAAAGCTAACGCTGCACAACACAAAGTTTGCAGCCTTCACTTCACTCCGGATCAGCCTAAAAATACCAGGGATACGGATGGTAAATAAAGGAGCCTCCCTGAGTTATTTCCATGGAATCACTTCTGTATTCAGCCTGAAAGAGCGAGTTTATGGGAACCAGAGAGCAGACCAGAGCCAGACAGCCGAGCAACTGATCCGCCTGCTGTAAACACCGTCCTATCTGAGCTCTTCACAAGAAACATGCAAAGGTAATAAAACGAAATAATACGGAGACATAAGCAGCAACTTTGAACCTGAACAGCTGAACCAGATCTCTGACACCAGAGCTGCGCTACTGTCAAGCTATGAGGCTTGTTGAGCTCCGTCAGGCTTCGGAAGTAAAAAGTCCGAACCGTAACCGAACCCCATTAGTCTGTGACACTAACGACAATAAACACACAGTATACTTGAAAATTAGGTAAAAAAATTGTCCGTTAGAATGTTTAGATACTTAAATAGCACATTTTTACAAGAACAATGTCCGAGAATATTGCCCACTAGCATAGGCTTAGGTTAATGTTAGCCACAAAGTTTAAGTAAAACTCACCTTCTATAACGAGGCGAACATCTTAAAACCTTTCTCCAGCTGACTTGTTGGGGCTTCGGGTCGATGTAAAAACCTTGGCCAAGCACTGCAAGCACCTAATGTAAAAGGCCATTTTCAATAGATCGGAAACAATCGAGCCGCTTTTCCCCAAATGCGGAAGCTGAGGTGCAAAGAGTCCGTTCCATTCTCAGCATGGATTTCAATTTGTGTCTTTAATTGCTTCAGCAAAGCTCAGTTTTTTTTTCGGGGTTGCTACTGCCTGTAGTGGCGTGGGGGTGGTAACGCAGCTAATATAATTACATTACTAAATCAGAATACCTCAAAGGGGGGAGGAATAAGAAGGGTTCGGTGAATGCGCGTATGAAACTGGGGGGTTCGGTACCTCAAAAAAGGTTAAGAACCACTGACCTAATTCAACAGAGGTCCAGCCAGGTGGCGCTAGAAGACTCGCAGTGAGTGGGAGATCATCTGAGTACAGTGACGGTAGCATAATACAGGTGACTTTAAGACTTTAAGTGGAAGTAAGGTACCATTACAACAACCATTAGATATGAAATTTATTTTTAGCATTTATAATGTAACCATTTCACCCGATCCCAACCAAACCAGACTTTCAATATGATGCAATTCAGAGAGTATTTCAAAGTTGTTTATGCTAGCCAAATTGCACTCAAGTGACAGTGATGTATTTATACTTGAATGCCTGAAACAGGTCGACGGTTTTGTCATTGTCGCTTTGTGTCTCTCTAAAGGCTCCTTGTTGCTCCCTCGGACTTTATCGGGCCGCTTTGTCCTGGTGACCGACGAACCCATTGACCTGTCTGCTTTGAGCGATGATGATGACGATAACGGCTCAGGTTCTGAGACGGACCAGAAACTGTTTAAGAAACACGACCAGCACGATCGCTTGCAAAGGCGCCTCGTCGTGTCTGAGGAAGCCAAAGAGTTCCTCCAGGGTCACCTCGCGACGGCGTTCATCCCCACCGTTTACGTCCTGGTCTTCATCATTAGCGTGCCTCTCAACCTCCTGGCCGTGGTGATGTTCGTCCACCGAATCCGTCCCAGAAAGCCTGCGGTGATCTACATGCTGAATTTGGCTTGTGCCGACCTTCTGTTTGGCCTGCTCCTCCCCTTTAAAATTGCCTACCATTACAATGGCAACAACTGGATCTACGGGTCCTTCATGTGCAGGGCGGTGACGGCGGCTTTCCACTGCAACATGTACTGCTCCGTGCTGCTCGTCATGTGCATCAGCGTGGACCGGTTCCTGGCCGTGGTTTACCCCATGAACTCCCTGACGTGGCGGAGCCCTCAGACTGCTGCAGCCGTCTGTGGAGCCATGTGGCTCCTCTCCCTGGGAGGAGTGTGCCCCCTCCTGACCTCAGAACAGACGCTGTATTTATCAGACCTTGGGATTACCACCTGCCATGACGTGCAGGATGTGGAAACCCTGCAATCCTACTATCTCTACTTCTTCCCCATATACTCCTCCGTCTTCTTCTTCGTGCCTTTCGTCTTCACTACCGTCTGCTATGTTCGAATCGTTCAGGCTCTGGCAGCAGCCAACTTGGAGAACCGCTCCAAGAAGACGCGGGCAATCGTGATGACTGTGGTGGTGCTGCTGGTGTTCGTGGTCTGCTTCGCTCCCACAAACATCATCCTGATGATTCACTATGTTCAGATCAGCCATGCGTCCAGTGACGGTTCCTACCAGGCGTACCTGCTCTCGGTGTGCATAGGCAGCCTCAGCTGCTGTCTGGATCCTCTCCTCTACTACTACGGCTCCTCTCAGTGCCAGAAGCAGGTGGCTGCATTGCTCAGGTGCTCGCCACTGGCACCAGCAGGGAGCAGCATGGACACGCGCAGCACGCAAACGAGTGGGTCGAGCAGCAGATCCTGCAAGATGGAGGGCGTGTACAGTGGCCAGTATAACAAGCTGGTGGCTTAAGGAGCCCGTTTCTGAGAAATAATGCAAACTTTCACAGACGTTTTCATAGCCTTTTTAACTTTTTAACATTTCGTCACGTTCCAGCAGTATTTAATGTGTCATTCTGGGAGTTTCGTGTAACGCAAAGTGGTGCATAACTTGGAACTGGAAGGAAAAGGATGTGTGGTTTCAGTAAAATTGATGAAGCTGTAAAGTGAAACATGCATTTCTTTCCAGCTTCTCAGAGCCAAAAGTCTGGAAACACATCAAATCTGAAAGAGAGTATGTGTCCACTGGCTTTGTTTATCTAGAGGCTGAAACTTTTGCCCATTCTTCTTTGCAAACCAGCTCAAGCTCAAAAAAAAAAAGAACAAAAAAAAACCTTGGATGGAGAAAATGTGTGCAGGTTACCTCTCCCCAATCCTCAGGTCTAGACTTTGACTGGGCCATTTAGTCTTATCTCCCTGCATTCATACAAACCTGTCTATTATATCTATGGCTGGATTTCAGGGTTAACCTGTATTTGACTTCATCCATCTTCTTTCTCATCAACACTGTTTAGCTTCTCTGGCCCTTATGATGAAAAGCCTCCCTGCAGAATGATGCTGCCACCCTGTTCACACCCTGGGGATGATGTTTGCACTGTACGCTTTGTAAACGAAAAAAAAGTTCCTTTATATGACGGCATGCTCATTGTTTCCCTGCATGACTTGTAGCAAACTTTAAGCAGGACTTCTTTAGCCTTTGTTCTACAATGTTTTTTTTTTTTCTTCTTGAGGCAAAGGTTTCAGAGCACATGACAAATAACCAGCATTTTCTTTCCATCTGAGCTGTGGATCTGCAGCTCTCAGTAACTCCCTCCTGACTTACCACTGATTTTGCTTTCCTTGTCTACTCTAGCAGGGAATCAAACCATCAGTGTCTGTTTCAGTATCATACAAATTACAAGTTGCAAACATAATGTAATATTTTGTGATTTTTTTTTTGACAATGTGTAATTATGTACAGGAACTATGTAAGTAAAAACAAACAAAAATGTCATTTGAGTCATTTAATTTTTTTTGGTTGTAGATTATAGGCTCTGCATCAGAAGAGTAACGCTCCAGGCCTGTTTTTTTTTTTTTTTTTTTTTTTTTTTTTTTTTTTTCCTCCTTTTCAGATTATGTCAGATGACACTGACATAATTTGGTCAGATAATATCACAAGCATATTCAAACCTCAAATAGAGTAAAAATTTCTCTTCTGAGAGGCGAATTAGTAAATTCTTGGATTTTGACAAACCTTCAGAGTTTCTACGAATAGTTTAATGTTGTAACTTTATCACCTTTAGATAATTAATGGAAAAATAATGTTAGGAGAGAGCTTCACTAAACTGTGAATGAACTTGCTTGTGGACGTCCACCTCTCAGTTTGAAGATCTCTAATGAAAGACAGCGACTGAGTCAAAGATAAAACTGTATATTTGGGTTTCGCCTCTGTGACTCTGCATTTTCTTTTATTGCTGCTCAACTTTTCGTTTCTTTGTCGGGACACAATTCTGTAAGACAAAAGAAGAGAAGAACAATGCTTCATCGAATAAACAATGCATTTAAGAACCAACAGCACTCGTGTCTGAATTCTTAACTTCCAGGTATAAGGCCTCCACCTTGTGGTGGTTTCTGCACTGACCTGCTGTGGTGTCGTAGCTGTGATAGTTCTCTGGGAAGTTCAGACACTCTGCTTGCTTCCTAAAATGTTCTACATCTGTGGGATGTATTTTTCCCGTCCTTGCTGCGAAAAAAGGAATAAATATAAAATATGCATGTATATTTCAATATTTTACAGAGATATGCAGAGGACAGCAGCTCTTACTAAACTGCATGATGTATCTGCCTGTGACGTCCACATTACGAAAAGTGTCCGTCCACAGCAGGCAGTCGGAACAGGTCTGCAGGAGGTGTCCTTTGTGGTCCGACAGGTTTTCTGAAAGTGCAGAAAAAAGTCGAACTTATTATGAAAGGCCGTAATCTGTTGGAGGCAGATGCTTTTTTTTTTTGTTTTGGAGATAAGATGGAGGACTGATGTTTGTGGTTGACATACTGCGAAATGTGGCCGTGAGTCCAGAGACGGTTGCATTTACTTTCCCAAAGATGCAACGGTGACTGAAAAACAATATGACAAGTTTTATGAGGCTTAAATCAACCTTACTTATGCACAACACTGCAAACATTGCAACATTTTCATGCTGCCAGAACATTTTGTCATGTTACAATCATAAAATGAATAGAATTTTTTTTTAGGATATTTTGCGATTGGCCAACAGTAGTATGTAAATGCAAAAAATATATATATTTTAAACGATTGGCGTGAAGTTCTGTCTATTAGGACTCTGCATAAAAGAGTCAGAAAGCCTTTGAAAGTCTTATTAGCAGTTATGCAAACATGTGGAAGATACTTTTATCATCTGATGAGATCAAATCTGAACCTTTTGGCGCATCACAATGAATTCTCCATCCTCACTAAAATGTGGTAGCGGCAGCATAATGCTGTTCTTTGACAGGGACAGGGAGGCTGGTCAGAGATAACGGGAAAATGGATGAAGCTAAATGCAGGTCAACAATGGAGGTAAAAAAAACAAAACAAACAAAAAACAGGACAAGTTGTTTCAAACTTGAGTGGAATGGTTTAGATAAAGTATATTTATGTGTTTGAGCCACCTAGCTTTTAATTTAAACCACAATTTGCAAAAATACTTGGGAAGACGTCAAAAGTGAAAAACAAAAATCGAGGGGAGATACTCCAGAAGAGCAACAGCTGTATCTGCAGTAAAAGATGTTTACATGACCACTTTGAATCAGATGTGTTGAATACACAAGTACACTACAAAAAAAAAATATATATATATATTTATTTATTTCCACTTAACAATTGCAAGGTAAATTTGGTGTACATAAAATCCCAAGAAACTTGATAAAAGTTAGTAACTAGACTCACAAGCAGTAGTCCCCCCATCGCAGGGTCACAGTCAGGTTGTCAGAGGTGGGCTGCAGCTCAATCCAGGAACTTTTCATGTACTCCAGCGCTTTGTGGTATGTGACTGGATCGCCCGCTCCCATCACATAAATCCATTTTCCAAATAACTTTAACCAAAAGTGTGAAAGAAACACACACGAGCTAAATGATTCTCTGAAACTGTCTAAAAAGAATCAATAATAATAATAATAATAATAATAATAATAATAATTTGGAGAGGAGATAAAAAAATGAGCAGGACTCACCTGTTCTGGCTCCTCTGGCATGTAAGGCTGGACCAGCTCCCGGCAGTCCGGAGCAGACGCTGCGCTCAGGCAAACGAGGGTCAGCAGAAAGCCGACGACAGACAGAGCCATGGTCAGACAGCAGATGTTACTGATCCTGCAAAAGAAATCTTCTGATGCAGACTCATTTTCCCTCCAGGCTTTCAGACAAAAAAAAAAAAAAAAAAAGTTGTGTAAGTGCTAAAAACAAGGGAGGAGGGAGGAGGGTTTGTAAGCTCAGACGCTCCTGCAAACCCTGTGCAAGAACCACTCAGAAACATGCAGATTTCTTTTGGACGGCTCTGAAAGAACTGCTCAATGGTCTTCTGTTGCAAAGGCCTCGGCTCCTGAATGAGCTCCGGCAGAGAGCCACAACCTTTCAAATGTCCAAATAAAGGATCAGACTGAGTTTTCCATCAGCAGAGGAAAAGGCATTTGTCTTGCTGGGGCATCTTTCTCTCTCCTGCTGGGTGTTACCCCAGCGACGGTCCGTGTCGCTTTTTGGAGCCGCATTAGTTTTATTGAGTAGGGAACTCTGCACAAAATGACCAGGCTGTGAAGAATGGGGAAAAAAAATAATAATAATTTGCCAGAACAAAATTCAGGAGGATTAAAAACTGCTTTTATTCACCGGCAAATACATCAACCAGGAAAAAAAAGATCATAACACAAATTAAATCAGTTTTAATGGGATTTAATTGTTCAGTTTAAACTACAACGAGTTGATCTACTGCAACATGATAACGCAGTTTAGTGCATGTTAAACTGGATCCATGGAGGCTCCCCGCAGAGCCGGGACGACTCCGGGCTTTAATCCTCAGCTGGCTGATTCTCGGCTTGATCCGTCTCTGTTTTCCTATCAGCAGGTGATGTGCTCTCCCCCCTGTCGTCTGGACACAGATCTGAAAAAGAAAGAAAGAAAAACAAGGAGAAAATAATCACAAAATATTTAACTGTTTCCTCCGAGTCTCATCCTAGTTTGAGGTCACGTGGGGGGAAATGGCTGACCTGTGCTTACGAAGTGATACTGTGGGAGAAATCCCAGGCATTCTGCTTGCTTTTTGAAGGTTTCCAGCTCGGACGGCTCCAGAGCTCCGGTCCGCGCTTTAAAGAAAGGAGACGTGTCGCATTGTAACCCCAAAAAACACGCTGCGTTTCTGTTCAACGGCTTGGCAGAGAGGATAAGTAAAGTGTCTCACTGAACAGAAACAGGTATCGGCCTTTTGATTTCCCGTCAGGCAGCAGGGTGGTGTCCTCAGACAGGAGGCAGTCGCTGCACGTCTCGTAATACTTCCCATCGTGATAGGAAGTGTGGCCGTTGATTATAACTGTGAAACACGGGAGAAATTGTTCGTACGTTAGCTTGTAAAGTCCACCTAGACCTTTTAAATGTGATTCGTGAGCACGACACACCCGCACACAAGCGAGTCAGTAAGACAACGTTTCAAAAATACATACAAGTGGTGTGGCTTGTTATTCCCGATATGGAGACATTTGCTGCACCCTGAAGGCACTTCTCTTCGCTACTGTGATGAAAAACGACAAAAAAAAAATAAATAAATAAAAAAAAAAAATAAAAATCACACAGGAGATCATAAACCATGAGTAACGCGTATAACTATCCGATAAGGCCATCGACGTTCAGCAGAGCTCTTACAGACGGTCGGCCCAGTACAGGGAGATGACTCCGCTGTCGGAGGTGGGGGACAGCTCCACCCAGGAGCTGTGCACCGACAGCAGGTCGGTCTTCAGGTCGTGCTTGTCCCAGGAGCCGACGTGGAGCACCCACTTTCCATAGATCTGCACACATACAGCCACTGCACATTTGACTCAGTTCTAACCCACTTTCTTTATTCTTTAAAAAGCGAGTTATTGCTGTGATTTTTGAAGAGGTTTGATTGCAGCCTCCTTTACCGACTAACTAAATTCTAACAGTGTGATTACTCTCGTATAATAATTTTATTTATTGTATTTCTTTCTTAACTCACTTATCTTATTCACCCACCTGACTGTGTTGCCTATTGATAGTGTTTTTTCCCCCTAATATTCCAGGCTTTGTTTCACAGTGCTACTGTAGTCGGTATGTCTGCAATACCTGTTGGGCTTTACAGGTGCAAAAGCAATAATTTCTGTTACTTTAAACACCAAACAACACACTGTGACCTGGGAAATCACAATAAAAGTAAAGAAAGAAAAAAGGAGAGGGAAAAAAAATCAACAAAAGAAGTGGAAAGTTTAAAACAGTGGTCTTACATATGTCCTTGAAACTGAAGTTTCCATTGAGAATAACAGAATAAAAGATTAAGTAAAAAAATATATATATAAAAAAGAGATTAAAAGTTTTTCAACATCATAATTATCCTTCCTTGGAAAAGTAAATAGTACAAGATGCCGTGATGCAGGATAATGTAAAACTGTATCTGTGGTAGAATTTAACAGTCAGAAACTTTAAGCCACATTTTGCTTGAAGCAGCTACATTATTTGTAATGTCTGCTTTTATAGCAGAATGTGAAGCACAATGTTGCATGCTACTATCTTCAATAAAAATCACTCTCGATTCTAATGAATTATTGAAAACCCTCTTTCTCTCTGTGTGCTGGCTGTAACCTCCCCAATAAATCTCCCAATAAATTTCCAAGTCCTTTAATCAGAGCGAACGGTCAGCAGTCGGTTGTTTGGAGGCTCTTCTCTCATGTCATGATCTCCTAGCAAGCCATGTCAGACATACTCACAGGGCTGTGGCTGTCCAGCACCAGAGGCTTCACCAGCTCCTTGCAGTCCGACTCGGACGCGGCGGCGCTCAGGGAGGTGAAAGCCAGCAGAGCTACAACCAGCTGTGCGGCCATGGTTGGAGACAGCAGGCAGCCGGGGAGCAACACTGATGTCAGGGATCCTGCTGCCAGCTACAGACCCCTCAAAGGAACCGAGGGACGCCTTCTAACAGGGGGCTGGGCCACACACACAAGATGGGAGCTTTGTACACAAAGATGTTCTTTTCCTTCCCCCCCCCTTTTTTGTTTTTTTGCTTGTCCTTATTCACCCCAAGATCCCATGAGAAGAGCTGTTGTCTGTTTTAACTTCTTAATAAAAATAATAATAAAACAAATGCTGTTCCCGTCACACAGATGCACAGCTGAATACACGTGCTTTGGTCTCTGTGGGAAACAAATGTTTAATTTTTCGCCTCCACTCAGCGGGAGTTTGAGACCTATTTATCTTGTTACATAACAAGCAGCTGGCAAAGTGTGAATAGCAGGACCCCCCTCATGTCTCAGTGTGTGAACAGAATGTCGCACAAAGTGTCAGGCACTTTCACATACACAGAGACACAAGCGCATGGAAATTTTCCGCCCTCCCACTCTGGTTTCATCTCTTCTGTTCCTAGCAAAAAAAATAAAAAAATCTTTTAAACTGTTATAAAAATGAAAGAAAAACTGACCAACTTTTCTGATTTATTCTTTATTATTCTGTTTCTGATGAGACGCAAAAACAAAGCACAGTGCAGATGAGCAGAATTTTCTCGATGCGAAGCGCTTTTCATTTCTGAAAGGGTCGACACGGCTGGCTTGGCACGGGGAGAGAGGGAAAGCAAAAACGGAACAACAAACTCTGCTTTGCATTCAGGCCACGATCCTTAATATTAGAACCAAGATGGAGACGTTTTCTGATCTTGTGACGGCTTTGTTATCTTAGAATATTATATTTCTGCTGTTTTCTGCATCTCAGGACTCTTGTTCGTGCCAACAATGAGAATCTGCTTTGAAATTTAAACTCTAACCTTACTACAAAGCTCTATTTGTGAGCATTATATCTTGTAAAGCACAAACTGCTGCTTTGACAGTTCTTTCTTACTTTATTTTTTTTTTTTGTAGTGCACAACTCTGTCTTGCTGACTAAACTTGTATGAATAAATTGTCCAACAAGTTGCAGTTCTGTCATCAAAAGGAGATTATTTGTGCACATCTTGGCATATCTGGCTAAGTGGAGTGTGAAAGGAAGGCAAAAGCTGGAAGGATAAAGATACTGAAAAACATTTTTACGAAAAGCCCCACGGTGAATGGGAAGTCAGTGGAGAGATTACATGTTGTTTTTTTTCTCTTTTATCTCTTTTCTCACAACAGAAGATGCAGGTCTTTAAATCTGCTTATTGAACTTAAAAGACTTGTTGTGAAACCCCTCGCTCACAGAAAAGACAAAACTTGAAGTAAGGCTTTTGTCACAAAGTATCATACAATGCCACTTCCTTTCATGCTTAGTCAGACAGAACCGTAGAGTTTGAAGCGTAGTTTGTTACAAACAGGCTCACGCTTCTCATGTCAAAAAATCCATTCTCTTTCTCACTCGAATCTAACACTTTTAGCCAATTTAAAACTGTAAATGCAAAACCTAAGTTATTTCCAGCCGATACTTGTGCATAGGTTTGCGCAATCAGCAGATGGATGGATGGATGGATGGATGGATGGATGGATGGATGGATGGATACTGTCCAGAAACATAAATCTCTCCTCACTAAATTTCTTTGTCCATACCAGATCTACGGAATTGTCCAATCAAATTTAAGACATTTCCAGATTGCGCAGAAGCTCTACTGACAAAATAATCTTCCCCATAGGAGAGATAAGCTACCTATAAGGCACCACTCACAGCTTCTTTACCACGAAAGAAAATATATCAGCATAATAATTTCTGCTTTACATGCATCGCCAAGGTTTATCTTGAAGTACAGTAAACAGACAGCAGCGAATGGTTTGCAGCAGACTACATAGTTTATTTCCAAACAATTAAAACAAGTTATGCTTCAGAGAGTCAGCTAGGAAATCACATGTGAATAGTGACTAGATCCAGAGAGTTCAGGAACAGCAGGCGCGAGGGCGGAAAGCAGACGGTTACTTGTGTTCTTCTATTGTTCTTCCGTGTTTCCCTCTGTGGGTGCAGTAGTAGGTTCCCTTTCCTCAAGACAAAGGTCTGAAACACAAAGGAAGGCAAGTTGTGTTAAGTGCTACATACCGCAGACAGCCAAGTGCAGACAGAAAGACCGAATCTTACCAGTGGTCTCCAGAAAATAGAAATCAGGTAAGAGGTTCAGACACTTGGCCTGTTTCTTGAAAACCTCGAGGTCGGAGCCGTCCAGTTTCCCCGTCTTTGCTGATATTTGTGAAAGGAGAAGTTGAACATTAATACAATTTAAAAATAACTACTGAATCTGTTGGGGGTTTTGTTGTTGTTTTTTCTTGGATTTTAATTGTTGAACAAATAAATCTGGAACTAACTGAAGATGTAGAGGTTTTTGCTTTTTCTCGTCTCCCCGTTCACCTCAGCCACCGCGTCGTCCACCCACAGGACGCAGTCGGCGCACGTCTCCAAAAAGCGCCCGATATGCTCGTATGTGGTGGAGTTATAGTAAACTGGACCAGATGAAACAGAACAATTAACATGTTGAGTTCTTTTGCTACGAGAGTTGGTGGTGCAACGCATTAAAGCAGGGATGTTACTTACAGATCACCTTGGTCGCGTTTCCCGAAGTGCTGGAGTTAAGGGCCCCACAAACACATTTTCCTTCACTGCCAAAGGGAATTAAGATAACTCACACTTTAAAATGTTACCCCGGTAAAGCATTGTTATTAAAATGACGTGATAGTAATTTCCAAGTGAACATATACATTTTGTCCATGTAGTGCAAACTGAATTCGTCGCTGTCAGGTATGGTGGCGAGTTTAACCCAGGAGCTGTTCACAATCTTTTTTGCATTCAGGTTCTGTTCGCTGTCTGATGCTCCAGCATGTAAAACCCATTTTCCATAAATCTGTTCAGATGAAGGAACAAGTTGTTGAAGTTACTTTTCAGGAAGACACACAAGAAACCCCCCACCCCAATGGTAAAAAAAAAAAAATCATCTCGTTGTTGATATAATGATTTGTTGAATCTGAGCTGCAGCTGCTGCCCTGCTTACCTTGCTCCGGTCCTCCAGAGGTTTAATCAGTTCATCACAGCCTGGATCAGACGCAGCAGTCAGAGAGGAGAGAGCCAGCAGAGCGAAGCAAAACTGAACAAACATGGTGGGAAGCTGAATGGAAGTCAAGTGGATGCGGTTGCAAGGACAGGACAACTGAGCTCTTTTGGGAGGGCCTGGATTAAGACTAGGAGACAATAATCACGTAACAGAGAGAGAGGGAGAGGTTTGATGTGGGCGGGCTGTACAGAAATGGGACAATGTGATATAATCATTTAAAGTTTACGCCAGAGACCAGAGCTAATGCCAGGTGCTTCTGGAGCCTTAGTCCATGTTGCATTCTTCTCATTTGTTCTTGAAAAACGTCACATAGTAAAATGTTGAATTTTGTCTTTCTGCAAAAGGAACAACATTTTTATACCAATCTCAGAAATGTATAGATCCACTACCCGTTTGAAAGCTGCATTTTATGAGATTTCATGTGGTTAAACGTTGCATAAACACATTACCAATAAGTCAGCGATGTTTTAACCCGAGCACCAATTCCACGACTTTATTGAACTGTGCATTCAGTCAGTCTGAGTCGCTTTAACTCAAACTGGCTGCGCTGAAACAAAGAAGACGCTCTGGTATTTTCTACTGACAGTTTCCGCAGTTATGGATCCAAACAACAAATCCTTAATCTGAGCTTCTGCAACCGCTTTAATATTTCCAAATTGACACCGATATCTAGACATGTCACCTGTTGTTCTCATATTTCTTTTTAAGAAACCCATTTAAAATTCACACATTTGTAGTTGGTGTAAAGGAGGCTAAATAACACTAGTGATAATAAAATAAAACAATACTACGCCTCTAATATGGGCTTTAATTACATCCTACCTTTGTTGAGCTGTGGAAACAGAAGCATCTTTTGGCCTGAAAGTCATATTAAAGTTTCTAATGCGACGAATTAAGTCTGGGATAAATGATCATGAGTGACATTTCAGCTTACATAACATTTAAATGAATACTGATTAAGTCATTAAGATGAACTGAATGCACTCACTGCAGATCAGACCCTCAATTCAGAGGATCTTAAAGAAAAAGATGTAACCAATGCATTGCTTACATGTAAACAACACAAAGTTGTGAATAACGTGCTATGTCATGGAGAGCTTCACATAATTTGGCCCTTTCAGGGTTTTCCATTCAAAGCTAATCATGTTCATTTGCAATGTTTCCATTTTTATAACCTTTTTTTTTTCTTTCATAAATACTTGGAAGGTGAAAATAAATTCAACATGTACACTGAAAGAAGGCAGAAACGAATTACTAGGACGCAGGTTGTTTTCAGGAAAAAATGAGATAAACTTTTAATCACATTAAAGACCATGCTTTAAAGTAAAATTAATTATGCAGGGTGAAAGAATCGCCTGACTTATTCCAAGAGACGAAAATCATATGCTTGAAATATCCTCTAGATGTTTCTAACAGTAAAGCCAAAACAATATTGTCATTCTAGACATTTGCAGCATAAGGAAATCAACAGAACACATCGAGAACGTAATATTGGATTTGCACCTGACAAGAGATTTCTGCATAACTAGAAGCAATTATGCATCAGGAGTCTAACTATGAACGTGGATCTGAGCAGATTTAATTCAGGCTTCAGAAACAGCAACAGTGAAGGGAATGAAGGTGATAACTTTATTGTTCTTCAGCGTTTGCGTTTGCTGAGGCAGCAGTGGGCTCACTTTCTTCAGGACACAGATCTGAAACAGAAAGGAAATCAGGACTCATTACATACTAGAAAACACAGACGGTTTTGGTACAAAGAGACAAAGAAGCAATTTTACTTGTAGTTCCTGGAAAATAGAAATCTGGAAGGAGGTTGAGACACTTGGCCTGTTTCTTCAAAGTCTCTAGATCGGACGGATCCAGTTTTCCTGTCTTTGCTGAAGGTTACGAAAGGAGAAAATGGACATCATTTCAATATCTAGAACAAAAAAAAAGTGGCCTTTTCTTTTTTTTAATAAATCATTTCAAGCAGTAAAATAATAGTAAAGCGGGAAACTCACTGAAGAAGTAGAGGTTCCTGCTTTTTCTAACGGCCCCGTTAATCTCCGTCGAAGCCTCGTCTGACCAGAGGACACATTCGGCGCACGTCTCCAGATAGTTCCCAACATGCACAAAAGCAGTGGAGTTAAAGTGGACTGTAAAAGACAGAGCAGACGGTCAAACTTTCTTCATGGCAGCTCTAGTACTTGCTGGTTGTGACCTGAAGAGCGCTACTGTCTACTTACAGACCACCTTGGTGGAGTTTCCTGAAGTGCTGGAGTTAGCACTACCATAAACACAGTTTCCGTCACTGTTAAGTAGAAATAGGATAAACATTAAAGATGTAAGATGATACTCTTTGGGTGAGTTTACCGAACCAGGTTTATTATTTCAAAGTTAAGTCACTGTTTAATCAACTAATTATAATAATTGTAGTAATTTTCAAAGGACCACAGCTTACATTTTGTCCACGTAGTGCATAATGAATTCGTCACTATCGGGTATGGGTGAGACTTTAGACCAGGAGCTGCTGGTGATTTTGTACGAATTCAGCTCTTCTTCATTGTCAGACGTTGCAGCATAGAAAATCCATTTTCCATAAACCTGCATGTAAATAGGGAAAAGTGATTTTTCAGGAAAGCTTCCACATAAAAAAAAAAAATAATCTAGTTTAAAAATGCAGTACAACCATAATTTTCTTTTCAAACCAGATTATTTTAACAAGAAATGCGTCAGTCTGTGAGTTCAGAAAATTCTGAAATTTCTTCTGTTTACTCAGATTATCTTTGAATATTTCAACACTTCACCCCGATCAGTTGTTTGTTGTGTGTGAATGCATGGAACCACAGACCCACTGAACTGAAATAAATCGATGTCGTTGGACAGAACAGGAACTGAACGATCAATGGGGCCTGTTGGACAAAATGCAGCTAAATTCTGCTTCACACGGTCAGTGCAAAGCACCGCTTACCTTGCTCCGGTCCTCCAGAGGCTTTATCAGTTCATCGCAGCCTGGATCGGATGCGGCGGTCAGAGAGGAGAGAGCCAGCAGAGCGAAGCAAAACTGAACAAACATGGTGGGAAGCTGAAAGTGGACGGCGCTGGACGGACAGGACAACTGAGCTCTTTCAAGAGGGTTTGAACAAAGACTGGGAGACAATATCTTATGTAACAGAGAGAGAAATGGGAGTTGGCAGTGGGAGGAGGTCTTTGTGTTACATAATCACATCAGTGACTCAGATGCCCATTTATTTAGGTCGTTTTTTTTTTTCTTTCTTTTAGCTGACATTTGTGTGCAGAGGATAATGTTTAATATCTGCTCACAATTTGCAGGGCAGTCACGAGGAGTTCTTTGCAACTGGCCTGTTGGATGGACATTCATGGGACTTTCCTTTGTAGTCTGCAAAATTTGTGGAGACCATAATCAAAATAGACCACGCTGGTTTTAAAACTGAGTTTTACTTTGTTTGATTCAGCTGAGGGTTTTAAAAGTTCTATAATAGGAGCCAGAAAGCTTTTTTCTTTTTCTCAAATTGTTTTCTTTTCTGCTCAGTTTGTATCTCATTAAACCATCTGTACACTGTGCTGTGAAATCTGTATTTGTTTGCACATTTCATTAGTGTTTAAACCCATAAAATTAAGTTATGTTTTACAAATCAAGATCTGTTTCGGGGGTCATTTAGAAACAAGGTTTGTAACCAAAATTAATCGTCACCATCAACCTGTATTTTAAAAGTGGTAGCATCATCAGTTTACCTGACCAGGTTTATTATTTCAAAGTTAGGTTTCACTGATATTCTACTGCATGTCAGCTTACTGCTGTGTCAAACATCACTGCTCTCAGGGGCCAAGCAGCAAATCTGTGACGACACAAATTATCCTTTAAGGTGTTTTCAGGTTTTAGCAACCATAAGACATGATGATGATGATGTAAAGCACCTTGAACTGCCTTGATGCTGGAATGTGCTACACAAATAAACTTGATTGATTGGCTGCTTGATGACACAATTTGGAAGGAACATAATTTCTGCTAACAAACTGCAAACATTCACTTACAGCCACATCAATGCACTGATTAAAAAAACGACACAAATGACTAAGGGAAGAGAAGCTTTATACCAGCAAATTCGAAACCCATGAAACTTCTCCGCTTATTTACAAAAACATAATACAAGAATAAAAAAGAGAAAAATGAACACATCACAAATGAAGTCCCATGTAGCGTCACAAAACAGAAATGCAATTTAATTTACAAACTTATCTTCTTGTACTCCCACTTTATGGCTTCAGTCTAACACACGCACGCATACACACACACACACGCAAAAAAAAAAAAAGATTAAAATGTCTCTTTTCAGCTGTGATGGTGGCTTATCAGTCCATTCCTCCCACTTCAGTGATTCTCTGCAGAGTAACATTCAAATAATAATTACATCAAATACACATACAAGAGAGAGGAGCTACATTTGTGACCTGTACATGTTGAAGCATGGAAAGGAGCATGTTCACACAAATATTGACCTTTGTACATAGTGGGAATCATGGGCACTGGAAAGTATTTATTTATTTTTTTAAATGAGTCAAAACAAGCTTTTAGCTTTCTGTACCAAATCACATTTTAAAATCATATTAAAATCACAGTTTAACCGGATGACAATTATTCAGGAGTAGTCAGTGCGTTCTGAGATCGACATTTGCCATTCATCCGTGTCTTAGCTGAATACAGAGAATTAGACCCACTGTGCATTCTGTGGTTCCAGGATGTAGATGCAGGAATACTGTGAAGCAAAATATTCAAAGCAGGAGAGGTCAGAGAATCCACAAAAATATATGTATATATATATGCAAGGTCTAGTTGCTTTCACTGAAGAAAAGACAGTATAGGTTTTTACCAACTCTTGTTCAAATGTTGTATTGCAGGTGAACAGAGCCCACAGCCCGACACTTTGAGGATTCAGCTCATGAGTTACATCACAACAATGATTTTCAGTTAAATACAGAAAGAGGCCAAATCCCCTCGCTTGGAAAGCAAGTGACAACTTTCTGACTGCACAGTAGTATTGCCTCAAAACTATGATCAATTATCTTTGCTGCTCTTCCAAATTACTATTTTTTCCTTTACAAATGAATTAATCAAAGCATAACATGATCCATTACATAGAGGTCAAGTGGATATATATAAAAAAAGGGAATAGAAAGTAAAGGTGGCAGTCTTTCGTTTCCATAGTGACTGATAGTTGTCGTTAGAAAATTATATTCAGAGAGTGTGTTGAAATGAAAATTTGGATCATTGCTGATTGTAATCTTCTCTCATTTGACCTGTTTCGGTGAGACGAACCGAAGGATGCGTGCCATATTTGTGGTCGAGTTCAGAAAATATCCAAACGCATTTCTTCAAAGCACAAATAAATAGACACAAAAAGACTGAAATAAGGCTAAGAGGCTTGTGACTGCAGTGGGTTTGCATTTATGCTGTAATACAAAACAGAATTTATCATAGAAAAAAAAAAAAAGCTGAAAAAATGTTTAACAGTTAGATAAATTAAAATGGAAACAACATTCTGGATACTGTGGTTTGTTTTCAATGATCTTCAGTAGAATGTATTCTATCAGTCACTTGTTGGATGTGCATATGCTGCTCCAGACACATCGGATGTAAATATACAAAGAGTTCTCCCTCTTGCTCCATTCAGTTGGTTTCCTTTGTACAGCCTCGTAGTTGTAAGAGGAAGAACTGATGAATGCAGAGTCATCACTTTGAAGAAACGGAAAAGAAGAGACACGGGCAGAAACCACACAGGGTTTGGGGTAACGGGGCGCCTGGAGGTCGGGAGGTGGGAGAACGATGAGTCACTGGCCTAAGGATGTCAAATCGTGTCTCTCTGCTTCATCATCTGGATTTCCCCAAAGACAGGTTTGTGAGCGACTGAGAAAAACCTGCTTTCTGAGTCTTCACACGCTCATCGTCATGTTCGGAGAATACTGCTGAAAGGAGACGAGGACAGAGAACAGAAGTGTGATTGTTGCATTTATGGGTAACAAGAAGCCCGTCAGGATTTGCAGCTGCCTTGCAAAAAAGTATTCATAACCATTTTCACATTGTAGCATTTTACAATTGCAAACTTGTGGTATGTATGAATTGTACCTGACTGGTCAATGCAAAGTAGCACGTAATAAAAGAATACTTGGTTTTATTAAAACCAAAAAAGAAAGAAAAGAAATACCAGAGCCCTTTTCTGGTAATCAAAAAAGAAATCAGGTGTAAACAAATATACATAACTATATAGAACCTACCTCATTAAGTAAATATTAATATACATGCACCTTTGAAGGCCTCATAGGTTTAATGGAGAACGTTGGAGACTAAGGAAGGGCAAGAATGTGACCTTTCATAATGTAAAGGCCACGCACACACCAAAATTAAACCATTTATTTCTTCCACTTTAGAATTACGCACAGCCTTGTGTTGGTTTATCATGTAGAAATAAATAAAACTCAAACTTTTCAAGTAGCATCAGAAAATGTGAGGCGTTCAGGAGGCTTGAACTGTTTCTCTTCCAGAGCAAACTTTCTCTATGGCAACCTAAAAGCTAAAGTCAGGAGCTGCTGAGCTTGGCAAAAATAGAAGGTTTGTTTCTATCGATACTGATGTCAGCAAATCAAAGTGCCACATCGTGTTTGTGATTCAAAGTTACTTTGTGGATCATTGCCATCGCCGTGAGACTGCTAGGCAGCCAGCAATAGATCGTACAAAAATTCACTGTTTGTAGCCGAAGAGGAGCAAGTAAAAACAACATCTGTGAAAACTGATGGAGTTTTTTCTGGGAAAAGAAAAAAGTTACTCCCAACTTTTCTGAAACATACGAAGAAAACCTCCTGAACAATAAATAACTTACACTTTCATTCTGAAATGGATTAAGGAAGTTTCCCCCCATCTCTCCGTCCTCTCTGGGCGTCCCTGGTTGGTTGCTCATACTTAGGTTACCAGGAGAGTTCTGGGAGGAGTAAAACATGTTGAAAGAAAACGGCAATTTCACGAGCTAGAAGAAGGAAACACCTCGATGTGCTTTACTAACCTTGGAGAGACTGTCCATGTCGCTGGACCCTGAAACACAGAGCAGTCTATCATAACCCGGCATGGATTTTATGTGACGCGTCAGGAACAAACACGATCACAAAAGTGCAAAATATACAAACTGCTCGTCCTTTTACCTAAAGATCCATTCATGTGATGCGGCTCCATCCCTGCCATTCCCCCCAGTGGTCCGTCGCTCCCGCCTCCCATTGGGAACTGAGCCGCATGTATGCAGGAGAGACAGAAGCAACAAAACACACACACATCAAGATCTGACCTCATCCTTTAACAGGTCACATACTGCAGAGCAAAGAGATGAAAAGGTCTCACATTCGGCCGGCTTCCACCAGGAGGGACTGTGTTTATCATGGTGTACATGTTGTCACCAGAGTTGGTTGAATCTAACACAACAAAGAACAAAAATCGTAAAGGGAAAGATCTTCAACATACAGACGTGAAAAGATGGATGCAAGGCTCACCTGCTGGACTCGGCATTATTGGGGTTCCAGGTGCACCCCCTCCTCCTGGAGGTCCCTGGAATTAAAAGTTTGGTTTTTATTGTGCAAATTACCAAGCAGCGGGCCACACAAAGAGTGCAACACAGTCTTATATCTGTCATACGCACCACATAGCTGCCTGGGGATGCAGACGAGTAGGGAGTCTGGGAAAAAAACGGAGAAGAAGAAAATCAAAGTGATGAAGTCAGAACTTTTTTTTAAGGCCTTTTTGTTTGAGGACTTACAGAGTTTGAATTTGGAGGATTTGGCCAGGGTCTCCCACCTCCAGGTCCCCTGCAACACACACACACAAACACACACACATCGGCATTCTGCTTTTATGCAGGCCTTGCTGTTTCTGGTCAGAGTTGGCAACAACAACGTGTTCTGATGCCAGAAGAAAAGGTGGTGGGAACAAGAAGGAGAGAGAGAGAAAAAAAAAAGAAAAGAACTTTGACAAAAGACGATAAAATAGTGGAAAGCCAACTCCTGGGTCCACCGTAAATAACCAGAGAAAAGAGTAAAAGTCTGAGTGTGGGGACAGATTTAGGATATCTGACATTTGTTTTTGCCCTTTAACCGAGAGAATGTGTCATTTAATTTACGGTTTGAAATGCAGACAAACCGTAAACTGTGCTGGAGCAGCACAGTGCTACTTTTATGCCAGCACCCGCAGCTTTGCACATCGTCACATTCCACAACACAAGATACATTTGATTTTATTGGAACTTTATGTGATAGACCAACATAATGCACCATTATGTTGGTCTATAAAGCAGAAGAGAAAACACTGTGTCAACGTTGTGTTCGTCTAGTTTGTACAATTCCAATAAAATACATGAAGTTCACAGTTTAAATGTCATAAATTGAGAACAAGGTTCAGGATGTTGGGATACGTTTTCCACTAGTATTACATAATGATGTGTCCATCACTCACATGCTCATACCAGGCATCCCAGGACCCACCAAAGCATTCAGCGGGGGTCTCATCCCACCTCCGTAGTTCTTAAGAGCAAAGAAAAACAAACACTCAAAAACACATTGCATTGTTTAGATCCTCATTTGATGGTTTTCCCCATACCTGGGGCCCCAGAGGTACCATGCCTCTAGGTGGAGTCATCCTCTGCATCGGTCCTCCCATGCTTGGATGCCCTGAAACATGAACACACAGTCGGTGTTAATTTGAGACTTTGGACTGAAGGTTAACAGGACTATCAGATCAGAAACATTTTCAGCAATCATGTTCCTCTAAACTCAAGGCCACTAAACTGAAGAATCTCTTTGTGAAAACACTAGAACGTCATCATACGTATTTTACATTTGCTGCTTTAAATTTAAGAAAAAAGTGGCTTCCTATGGGTGTTTTTCATCCCAGTAAATTTTAACAAATCTTCCAAGAGATTTGGAAAATTTCATATTTGAAATTCAGCCGATATCTGACAGGCCTGTATAAAACCCGTTTTGCACAGCGAGCTCTATGAGAGCCAATTTTGCTCTCCAGTGATCAAAGACATAATTATGCAACCATGCTGACTCTGATGACAAAAATTGCCTACCAATGCAGAAGTGTCACTTTTCATCATTTTTTTTCAGTCAAGCAAGCTTTTAGCTTTGTCAAACTTTTTAGACTGATTTTTTTTAAATCGTATTTGATCATTTGTTAGAGTTTCAGGTGATTTGGGTTTCGCAATCACACAAGGAACCATAGAGATTATAATTCTCCTGCTGCATTAAAATCAGTTTTGTTTTGGACCAAGTGTTATAAACTTTGGTCTGTAAGCTTTGAGTTTCACTCCCATGTCAACACTTCTCTCAAGCATTGATCTCAAAGAAGATACTGGAACAGAAAAGTGAAGTCATGGCAGCTTTGTGTGTTGTAGTAGTAGGGACCTTGCTGTCTTGTGGGGTCCATCCCGGTAGGTAACATAGGCTGGCTACCTGGAACTCCTCCAAGGCCCTAGAGAGAGAACAACATCCACAAATCAGCCACATCATCAGAAATGCACCAGAGACTTTTTGTTTCAACCATCCAGTTTTTGTGTCAAAACACACACTTTTTTCTTTCCTTCTTGTTTTTTTTTTTTTACCCTGAAAAGTGAGGCTTGCATATTTATACAGCCTGATACCAGAGGTCTTACTAGTTAATAGCAAAGATAATTCATCTGCGTGTAAATTAATCTCAGTTTAGTGTAACTGCTCTATGAACGTCTCAAAGTTCACTAATGTTCTCCAACATTAGTGAACTAACATAATTATGGCGTCCAAGAAACTCTAGCAGCTAATATCTTAACATCTGGCAGCAGAGATGGTATTCCACAGTAACATGTCCTGGATGACACCGCCATTTGTTGGAAATCACTGCTGCTTTTGCTGCTCCTCCTTAAATCGCTGTTAGAAAGCATGGTCGGATCAGAGAGACGTTGGAGTTGGGATATAATCTTTACCCATTATGATGACTGATGTAGTTGTTTGAAATTTCTCCTTCTCTCTTTGGGTCCCACAGTGGCCGTGGTCAAAATCTAGACCCAAACCCACATAGAATCTGTACAGAGCCTTAAGAAGTGACACTTTCCATTCATCCAGACATAGTCTGAGATGTTTTGTAAAGAAAAAAATCAGTTCTAGATGCAACGAGCTGATAGAGACGTACCCAAAAAGACTTGCAGCTGAAATTTCCTTCACTTTTTTTTGTTTTTTTTTTGTCACTACTCTGTATTGGTCCATCATTGCGATGTGTCAAAATGTGAAAAAAAAAAAGTTTAATAGGTATGAAAAGCTTTTGCTATAGGGCTGGAACTGCAGGTGTCAGAGCGCCCCTCACCTGATTGGGTAGTCTGAGGGGCGGCCTGGGTCCTCCAGGGTATCGAGGCGACATGAAGGGCTAAAGAACAGGAGATATATAAAGCATGTGTCTGTCAGGTTTTCAACAAAACAACCATCAGGTTAACCTAAAACAAACAGTTTGAGTTGTGAAGCAAGAGAATGGTTTTCCTAAAAGGAATTTATACAAATCAGGGATGACAGTACAGATACAGAAGACAGCATAGATAATGCATACAGACCAGCTCAGTGAGTTATGTTTTGGCTGCTTTCTTATGGAAAAATGAGAAGCCAACAAATTTATTGGAATAAATTTACCCAAAAAAATCCTAGGCAACAAAGTCAGATGATGTTTTGACAATAATGTCCATGCATTTGTTAACTGTTAAGATTTTGGCAGTTTTTGTTGGTGCCTTCTCATTTTGCAGCTTAGAGTGGGTTTTCACAGAAGTTACACAGACAGCAGCATTGCTGTTGCTGTCAAGTTAACTTCAGTGTGGTCAAAAAGGCCTTCCTGCAGTGTGGGGGGAAGCAATGCTGCAATGTTCCACTAGAGGGCAGTAGTCCTCTTTCTTTGATCAGGATGAATCATTGAAAGCAAGAGTAGAATTAGATTAAATCTGAAATATGTTTGGTAATGCTGTACATTGAAGTACCAAACCAGTCGGTGTAGATATGATAGCCTGTTTTTAAAATAATAAATCTTAAGAAAACCTTTCCTACAATACACAACTCATCTTCTGTCGAGACTCGTTTGATTTTCTAAATGCAGGAGTGGAAAATATCTTGCAACGGCTATTGATCTGGATGTCTGAAGCCGTCATCTGAATTTGACTGATAATGACAGATAATCAATCAGGGAGCGTTGGAGTCATCCAGAGCTGACATGAAGAACTGCTGCAAGTGCTTACTACCTTGACTTTATTTCCACTTTCAGACCATTTTTCTTTTCATCATGTGGGTTATCTTACACATACAGAAACCGAGACTGTAAAAGCCCTTTGTGTTTAGTGCCGCGACAGATTTAGAAAACTACAAATCCCACAAACTGCACCACTGGGAGATGTTTTCTTTCACTTTCTGCACTTTCTGAAATGCCTTGTTTGCTCTTGAGGTATTTCCTCCTTTGTGAGTGTCATTCTGGAAGAAAAGTGCTTAATGCATGTGTAACCTGAAACAAATAATGAGTCGTTGCCTCGTCACTCTACAGGATCAGTGGCGGTTTCTGATATGAGCGACATGGGCAACAGCCCAGGGCGGCATCCTCCTGTGGGGGCCAGCATGAGCAAAGCATTGCCAAATAATGTGTAAAAATTATAATTCTTGCGTTTTGCTTGAAGTAATTTTGGAAGACAGACACAAATAATAAAAAGAAATTGGCTAACAATTTCTTTTCGAGACCTAGGAATCCCAAATGCCATATGTTTACTAAAAAGTAAAACAAAACAGGACTGTGTGTGTGTGTGTGTACCTGAAAAAATCCTGGAGGAACCGGCCCCACTGGCAAGCTCTCTCCTGGGGGAAGGTTCCCTAGAACCGGGCTGGGAGCTGCAGCAGCACTCTGAACAGGTCAAACACACAAAAATAGAGTCTTAATGCACCTTTTTGACCACATACTGATTAAAAACTACAGCACATCACAAAAGTATGCATACCCCTTTTTTAGTTTCCCACGTGTGGTCACAATGAAACTAAAAGTCTCAATGTATTTCACTGGGAGAGCTTTGTGTGATAGAACAACAATAACAGAGGATAATTGTGAAATGAATAGAAGTGGAAATGGCTTTTAAAATTTCTAATTTGAAAAAAAACCTGAGCATTGCAGAGTGCATTCAGAGGTCCTTTACTCTGGCCTCATGGAAGAGAAACAAAAAAAAATTGCTGAATGAGAGCCTTCGGTGAGAGCGCTCGTTCACAGCTCACCACAAGCCACTTAGGGGTAAACAGATGGAAGGAGGAGGTTTGGTAAAACAGAAACTGAAATTTTGGCATGAATGGAAATTTCAGACAGAAAACCAACACTGCACATGACCATGAAAACAATTTAACCACTGTAAAGCATGGTGATGATGGCATCATTCCATGATAATGTTTTTTTTTTTTTTTTTTAGCATGGAAGAGAAAACCAGTCAGTATTAGTGGGGAAATTAATTTATCTAAATACACTACAATCATGCCATGATCCTAAACATGTAGACATAAACATATAAATTAACCCTAACCCTACAGTGGAATAGCAAATAATATTCAAGTCATAGAATGATCTAGTCAAAGTTTAGCCCCAATTCCAACAGAAAATCTGTGCCAAGTCTTTAAAATGTTGTTCAAGGCTCTTCTCCCCAAAATATTCTTCTCCTAACAATATTTATTCATCTCAAGAGCTAAGATTTCCTCAGTTAATTATTTGAATATCCCAGCTCTGGTATTTTACAAGTATCTCAAAATGAAAGGCACCAAATATCAAGTGAAATTTGCAAAGTGGGTGTCTTCTGTAGCTTTCCTGCTGTCTCTCCCTTAATGGGATGTTTCCTGTTTCTACCGGTGCCCAGCGATGCAGGCCCAGGTTTATTTTTGTACTTTGTAATTTTTTTCCTTGTGTGTGTTGTTGTACTTGTCCCAGACGGGTGGCGCTGGATCATTTCAGCAGAACCTCCCGACTGCTTCCTGTGGTATTGTGCTACTAACCCCGTGCTACCACCGAGTCCTGGCCTCTCGCCCATCCTATTTAGGAGTCCAGGGCAGGAAACATCCAGACGTCTAGGCAGAGTTGTAGGCAAAACTCCCAACTGTGTCTAGATGACGACGTATGGAGTCTGTGTACACATGTCCTTTGTATCTGCTGCGAGTTCTGTGTTTCTGATCTTCTGTCTTGCTGTGATGGATGGATAAAAAAAAAGAACTCTGGTGAAATTCAGCTACAGTCTCTGAAGTTTCCGCCAGCTGACTTTTTAGGTCAGACAGGAACAAGGTTTAATCAGAGCCGAGATAAAAGCAGACTGACGACACTCCTGTATCCTGCGCTGCTCCACCCCGCCACCCTCGCTGCTCCCCCTGCCTCCTTCACATCTCTCTGTCATTAATGTCGGGCAGCAGGGAGCGGGATCCGCAGCAGCTTTTGGATTTCGTGTTCTGCTGCAAACATAGCCTGGGTTTGTCCCAGCGGACGAGTGTGCAGATGGACACAGATGGCTACTGTGTACCTCCATCGGTTCAGCGATGACTGGCTGGATTTGGTTTGTTTTTGAGCTTGTGTGTGTCTGTGTTCTGGTCTAGTGTTTAACATCATGCACATCGTGCTTTTTGTAAGTCACCCTCTTCTTGTTCTCACACTCTATTCCCATGCAGAGTGGATTACCCAGCATGCCTTGGCTCCCCAGCAGCCTGGAGGTCTGCTGAGTTTGCCTTCACGCTCAGAGGAAGAGGCAGGGAAAGGAGGACAAAAAGGGAGATTATGAGTGTATGCGTGCATGTGGAACAAAATGTGTACGGGACCAGAAATAACTGAAGGAGGAAAAAAAAAAAAAAACATCTACCTGAACTGCTGACAAAGCAGCATTTTCTGAATACAGCAACTAGCAAAATTTAAATAGCTGCAACAACAAGAAGACGGGCATGTTGGCTCCCCCAGCGAAACATTCGATCGTCTAAAGCAAAGAAGTAATCAGAAATTCAAGCAGAAATAAATTAAAGGTTTGTTCTGATGGCACGGATAAATTGTGGGAGTCCACTGGTTTCCATGGAAACGAACATGCACAACTCGTAGGATGGAACTTTGAGATCTCATTGGTAAAATCGCTGCCAGTCACATAAATTGGAAACTGATGTGTGAGAAGGTAAAAATGATCTTCCATAATCAGTAATTTTGTGTAGTGAGTCAAAGATAAGTGAGGATATAGGACTCTGGATGAACTAAGTGTTGTTAAAAGAAGAAGATCCGTTTCTCTGCATACTAAGAATATGCAAAAAAAATAAATAAAATAAAATAAAAAAATAAATAAATAAAAGGAGGGGCTAATTGGTGTCCTATTGGTCAAAGTATGACAGTTTGGATAGCAGTAACGGTGCCACAAGTGATTTTATTAAAAACAAATACTGAGTTAAATGAGATGTATTTTTTTTATATAAATTCTTACTGCAAGATTCTCCAACAGCAGCAGATTATAAATTTATTTTATGGTCACTACCAGATGTGCCAATAAATGTTCGAGCACTGCAGGCTAATTTGCGTCCTCACTGATGTAATGGAAAATATTAGTAACATACTTATTCTCTTAGAGCACAATCATTTGACTTACTCCAGCATGTAATGAGAGTTTTGAACAAAAGTGGCTTAGTATTGACCTAGTAAGGCTTCTAAAGCCCACTCATTTGTTCATATAGTGTAAAAATAACTAAAAATAAAAAAAATAAAAATGACTTCAAACCTCAGATGTACCAAATGTTAAATGATCACAACATAAAACCATGTTGTAAGTAATTCTGAAAAGTTCTTGCAGTGAGCAAACAGTCCACCAACTTGTACTGATATGGAAATTCTCTCAAGTGTTGCATAATCACATAATGGCAATTCACACGTTTTTGATAACAATATAGTAATAAAATGCAGCAGAAACAATTAACCTGATAGGAAGTCAGTTCACTGAGTGAAACGGATAGATTGATTACATAAAGTGTGATGTTTTGATGTTTTTATTTCTGTTAATTATGATGATCTTCACTTTCAGTGACTGTAAACGCAGCATATTAGATTAGGAAATTCCATCGGACCAATAAAAACACCTATTTAATACAGAAATGTGTTAATAAAAATCATTTTTAATACCTGCTTGAATAATGTTATTTTCAAAAGGTGTTTTAAATCTTACAACCGAGTCTCATTAGAACATATACTCTAAATGTATTGAATATAACTGTATCTGCATCTCCCAAAGGCTGAATGCTGCAGAAACTGATCTATGCTCACATTAAAAAAACAATCCAGATGTAACATTTGCGAACAAGTCAGACAATATTTTCTTACGTTAGTTTTGTGTTTTGCTAATTATCTTTGCAAACCTTGCCAGTTTTTTTCCACTGTAGAAAGGCAGTGTTGAGTGTGACTTGGCTGTGATTGCTGCTGTGTAAACAAGGTGCAGACATTGTTCAGCACCAGGAGGAGAGGGGAAGACATTCACTACTACAGATGCAAAAGAAAAGAAAGTTTTCTATCCTTTAGCAGTGTAATTTACCTATAAAAGCAGGTAAAACATAACGAGAACATATAGAAAATTATTGCGTAATCATAAGAGAAATTTAATATAGAACACTTTTCTAGAAACTGTGGTTAAAAATAAAACTCGGTATGTTTTTACCCATTTTGAATGTCAGTGAAGATGCCATCGGGACTCAGAGATTGATGATTTGTTTTAAACTAACCACAGTAAATAGCAACTCCAGCTCTGATACACTGGGACGTTCACCCATGAACCTCTGAGAGGTTACATTTCAAATGCCTGAAGTTTCTGGCATGATGGCTGTTTTCAGGATTTTCCTGAAAAGCAGGCTGCAATAATAGACAACTGTTAGAAAAATCAAAAAAGCTTTTACTATTTTTGTTATTTCACAGTATTTTAAGGTTTTATATCCTTGAAATATGTAGGAAATTATCCCTTGACTACTGTAATCTAGAGGTATGTTTTTTTTTTTTTTTTTTTTTTTTGGGGTGGAAATTTAAGATAAGAAAACGTAGTATGTTCTCTCCCAATAACGCAGCTTTACTCAGACCACAGGAATTTAATTAAACACAGCGGCATTTGAACATCTTTAGTTTTTAATTTTAAAACAATGTCAGCATTTCATTTGTTAAGCTCTTGTTTGCCAACTCTGTATAAATACCAATTCCCAGCCAAGCTCAGCTTATTATAGCACTTAACCTCCGTCAACACAAATGGCCCACAGATTGTTAAGCACTGTTAATGAGTCCGTCATTTTTGCACCTCTCTTGCATGAAAGTTTGCCATGTGAAGGAAAAGTGCAGAGCGAGAAGAATGGCAGCAGGAAAAAAAAAATGCGTGGCAGCTGAACAGATCGTCACTATAAGACAGTGGAACTGGGTAAAGAGTCTTTAGGTAAATCTCTGGGTGAACATAAACTGCAGATTTTTATCACTCTTGAGCTGATCAAGTTCACTGCACTTTCAATTTGTGCACACATTGCAACAGCCATTACAAACCCCGATTGTTCACAAATTAAATTCTAAGCTGTTAAATGAAAACTAACTTATATTTGTTTTTTACACTTCATTAGATTTAATGAAGCAAGTTGTTTCAACGCTCCTCCAAGTTATCTGACTAAATATGTCCTTTCTTTTATTTATTTTATTTTTTTACAGTTTAACGCTCTTTTCTCTGTGCATTTGAAGCTTCGCTCGCTCCTTGCAGATTTCCTCTCTCTGAGCCATCCCCCCAGAGAGAAGCACAACGACTTGACTGAAGTGCAACACTTCTGACAACAAGCTGATCTGCAATTTTGTGCAACGTTGTACACAATAATCCATGCAATCAGTTTTCCTCATCGAAAGCTGTTTGCAATGGAATCTGAAGCATTGCAGAGGCACCAGTCTGTTCTCAGATAAACACCTGCATCTTCTGGTAAAAAAATGTTTGTTTCATAAATTATTCAAAATACCATCCCCGAGGCAAGTATCACAGAGACGCAACAAGACAGATCCTAGTGAATACAACAGCCCCACGAATGGATCTGCAGGAATAGTTCAGAAAACAGTCAAATGAGATCAGTGTATAAAAGATGTAAATAAATAAATAAGGTGATCAAGGATTTTTAAAGCAGGGAAGACAGTATTCTATTTTCCCACACAGATAACTTCAGACCCAGTTAAATATTTTGGTAAATGCTGTCTTTGTAAAAAAAACAAAACAAAACAAAAAAAAGTCTAGGAATGTTTGAACACTGTGCTGTTATTTGTCTTACAAAAGGATGCCAACCCTTCATGTTTTTTTTTTTTTTTCATTTAGTAACATCTTTTTCTAAGGTTTGTAGTACTAGTGGTATTTATTGCTTAGTAGATGGACAGGATTAGGGGCAGAGAGAGAAGACGTGCAGTAAATGGCACAGGGTTGGGACTCCAACCAGAAACAGCTGCGTCGAGGATTTTAGCCGCAGCATATGGTGAGGCTGCTACACCATGGAGCCATGTGTGGCAACCTTAAACCCACGGTCCCCACATTGTACCCTACTGGGATGTGATGTGACAGACACAAAGTAGGATGCATTTATGAAGAGGAAGGGAAATAATAATGCAATTACAACTTTGAAAAGTGTGTCAGTGCATTTGTTCTCAGGTCTTGTTATTTCAACACTGTAGAACCGGCCATAAAACTGCAATTACAGCTGCAGATCCAGGTTTGCACATCAAGTAGTTTTCATTTGTAAAATATCTCAAGCTCAGAAAGAATCCATAAATTTGTTATAAATGTAGAAATTCATATATCCTTTTCATTCAACTTTACTTAACTTATTGAATTTCTTTGGTTGTATTGTGACACAATGTGAAACAGATCAGGGGTTATGAGTAGTTTCTCAAAAAAAACAAACAAACAATGCATCGCGTGATAAAATCCAAATAAATTACTTAGGTAATAAGATTCTGTTGAAGACATAAAGCAAAAATGATCCAATGCTGAAATCACAAATAACTTTAATGCAATACAAGCTCATTAGCTTCTTTTATGGAGCATTTCTGCCATTATGGAAGGAACATGCTCAAACATCCACTTTCAATTCTGAAACAAAACTACGTTTCAGCTCTATTCGCTGAATGTTACTCTACTTCAGCTCGTCACTTTACGACTTCATTAGGCTTTCTTTATACTGCACCCATGGTACACTAACCCCATTACATCACAGGCACAGTAATGCCGAATGAGATAACTTACAAATTCTTCCATCCCTATACGTGACCAGATACTGTCCCCTTTAATGTGTATGCTTAATGCATGTGCATATATGTGTGTGTGTGTGTGATGGTGGGGAGTCGTTTTCATTCAATACTGCAGAGACTGAGAGCGAAGCGTGGGCGGAATCTCAAAAGACTGTCTGTGTCTATCTTCCCTCACCGTCTCAACCTGCATCGCTGTCGCTGTCTGCTTTCTCCACTCTGCCGTCTCTCACGAGAACACAAACCAGGCCGATCTCACTTTTGTGCTCATATATTGGCCCCTTACTGTTCCAGTGACTTTACATTATGAGCACATAAATAGAAACATGCGAGGTCATGCGGTATTACGTGCTTTTGTCTGGCCGAAGTCTGTCTGTTTGATTTTTGTTCTTTAAATAAGAAGTCAACAACGTTGCACCTGCTCTGACCTTCATCGTGTGCAGTGTATCTTTTTTTTATTTATTTTTTTTATAAATCTATCCACCACATGTTGTTCAGCTACAGAAACTAAAAGCAGAAGAGAGAAAAACGTGAAAATTGACAAATCTAATTGCATCTTAAAAATACAGTTAATCATGAAACCTCCAAGCAAGTAATGGCGAGCTAACAGTCTTCCAGTTAAATTGTCTTGTTACAAGTAAAGGTTTGCTGCAGGGCCACATCAACAAAATTTGTGCAAAGCCCTGAGACAGCATGAGGGCCAGGCTGGGATTAGTCATATTTCTGCTGATGATGGCTGAAACAGGTTGCCTTTAATAAATAGCGGCTGCCATGCTGTTTTACTAGTTTTTACTTTTCCCTTTTTTGGTGACTGAGAGGCTTTGTGACTTTATTTCTTAATAATTGTAAGGAGGAAATAGTAATTCATCAGGAGACATCCTAAATAATAATAAAAAAAGGGAAAGCTTCATAGGTTTCAGTTTGGCAGAAATAAAAAGCAGACTTTGATTAAATTACAGGGTAGAGCATATTGGGTGTGCAAA